AACCCGCCACCTTAGGTGTATGTGGCTGGCGCCTTAGCCGCTTGAGCCACAGGCGCCGAGCCAGAATTAGCATCTTAACAATAGTAAATCTGATTTGAGAACATATCTCTATGTATTTAGGTCTTCTTCAATTTCTCTGTATAATGTTTTGTAGTTTTCAGGTGTAGTTTCAGGTCTTAGACATATTTGTTAAATTTATCCCTGGGTATTTAATATTTTTGACACTGTTTTAAGTTGTGTTTTTTTCAATTTCTAATTATTTGTTGCTAATATATAGAAATATAATTGAATTTTGTATATCAAGCCTATAGTAGTTCATAACCTTGCTTAACTCATTTATTAGTTCATTGCCCTCGGTAGAGTGCTGTGGCAGCGTCACACAGCTCATAGCAACCTCCAACTCCTGGGCTTAGGTGATTGTCTTACTTCAGCCTCCCAAGTAACTGGGACTACAGGCACTTGCCACAAGGCCTGGCTATTTTTTGTTATTCTTGCTGTTTGGCCAGGGCTGGGTTTAAACCCGCCACCCTCGGCATATGGGGCCAGCACTCCACTCACTGAGCCACAGGCACCACACAGTTCTAGTAGCTTTTTTAAAGCTTCCCCTGAGTTTTCTTTCCTTTCCTTTCCTTTTTTTTTTTAAAGTCAGGATCTTATTCTATTACCCTTGCAAGATTGCAGTGGCATCATTATAGCTCATTGCAACCTCAAACTCCTGTGCTCAGGTGATCCTCCTGCCTTAGCCTTCCAAAATGCTAGGATTACAGGCATGAGCCACCATGCCTAACCAGGATTTTCTACGTACAATATTATTTTGCCTGTGAACAAAAGCAATTTTACTTTCCCTCTAATGTGTATACCTTTTATATTTTTATTTTTTGTCTTATTTTATTGGCTAGAACCTTCAGTACAATATCGAGTAGAATATGATGAGAGCTGACATCCTTAGCTCATTTTCAGAGGGAAATAATCAATCTTTAACCAGTAAGTAGGATGTTAGCTATAGGTTTGGGTTGTTTTATTTTGTTTTTTTAGAGACAGGGTCTCACTATGTTGCCCAGGCTATTGAAACAGTGGCTATTCACAGGGATGATCATACTGTGATCATACTGCTCTGTAGCCCCAAACTTCTGGGCTGAAGTGATGCTTATGCCTCAGCCTCCTGAGTAACTAGGACTGCAGGTGCTCACCACTGTCCTTGGATTGCTATAGGTTTTTTTTTTTTTTTTAATAAATGCTTAAAAATAGGCCAGGAGAGATCCCTTCAGTTTGTGGTTTGCTGAATGTATTTATCATGAAAAGGTGTTGAATTTTGTCAAATGCTTTTGGTGCACTATTAAAGATATTCACCTGGCTTTTCATTTTTAATTTGTTAATGTGGTAAATTACTTTTATTGATTTTTGAATACTAACCAAACCTACATCCTAGTATGAATCCTACTTGGTCATGATATATTATCCCTTTTGTTTATTACTTGATTTGACTTGCTAAAATTTTGGTAAGGATTTTTGTGTCTATTCATGAGGGATATTGATCTGTAGTTTTCTCTCCTTGTCTTTGTCTGGTTTTGGTATCAACAAGACTGCCAAGTGATTTCGATGTTAGGTAAGTTTTGAGAACCACAGCTCTAGATCATTCTAAGACTCAATAATGCCTTCGTATTAAGAATACTTAATGAGAATGTTGTGATAAGTACTTTTAAAGGTTTTTGAGAGGAAGAATGACACAATGCTAATTGTATTTTCAATGCCTAGTTTTAATATCAGTTAAAAATATATTTGTTTTAGTTTATTAAGTAATCAAGGAAATGAAAATAAAAAACCACAATGCAAAACTGTTTTAATACCCATTTCCTTTAATACCATTTTCTTAAAGAGCAGTAATCTGATAATTCCAAATGATGTAGCAGGAATTTTTAGTCACTATTAATAGAATAGCTTAGCTGAAGCTCTTTGAAGAGAAATTTGAACTTATCCTGTAAGGTAGAGTTTATTCTATAACTCAGAAACTTCATTCTTTGATATTTTCAGAGAAAAATTCTCACATCTTAGAAACCACTCCCTCCCATGAGTTCTTTCCGAGCCACAGCTCTTCCTACCTCACTATCCTGACTTTTATGATAGGCATATGTTTGCTTTCTTTATAGTTTTTAACACTAAACAATATGGCTAAGTCTTGGAGTTTATTTTTGATTTTTACAATTGGAATTCTTTTATTTGTGTCTTACCTCAATTGTTCACCCATATTATTGTGTACAGCCATAAGTTGTTGATTTTCATTCATATATTCTAATATATGAATATAAACTATTTACGTTTCCTTTGCTGATGGATGTGTGGGGTGTTTCTGATTTTTAGCTATTATGAACAAGATAATCTATAACTATCTTTGGTGATTATATAGATTAATTTGATTTTCAAATGGTAGAGCAACCTTGTGTTGCTAAGATTAAACCAACTTGATAATTGCGTAGTGTCCTTTTTTACATTCGTGAATTCAGTTTGGTGATAAGTTCAGATTTTATGGTTGATTTATAATTTTCCTTATACTAGCCTTGTCAGCATTTAATATCAAGGTAATTTTAGACTCATAAAATAAGTTGCAATCCTATTCTCTTTCTAGTATCTGAAGAGTTTATATAAAACTAGAAATCCTTGGATATTTTATGGAATTTAGCAGTGTTTTCTGTGTAGAAAGATTTTATTTTGTTCTTTTTCAGAGATGGGGTCACACTGTGTTACCTCAGACTAGACTCAAATTCTTGGGCTCAAGTGATCTTCCCACCTCTGCCTCCCATGGCACTGGGATTACAGGCATATGCCACTGTGCCTGACTATTGCGTTTATAGAAATATTTTTTACTACAGGTTATACTCCTTTAATTGTTAAAATATTTAGATTTTCCTGGGCCAGGCACAGTAGCTCATACCTATAATCTTAGCCCTCTGGGAGGCCGAGGTGTGTGGATTTTCTGAGCTCAGGAGTTTGAGAGCAGCCTGAGCAAGAGTGAGACCACATCTCTACCAAAAATAGAAAAATTAGCCAGGCCTCATGGCATGCACCTATAGTCCCAGCTACTCTCGAGGCTGAGACAAGAGGATTGCTTAAGCCCAAGTTTGAGGTTGCTGTGAGCTGTGATACCATGGCACTCTACCCAGGGCAATAGAGTAAGACTCTGTCTCAATAAAAAAAATAAATTCCTTTTATAACCAGGAACTTTCAAAGTGTGGTCTAATAATATGGATTAAAAGAAGCCAAACACAAAAGAGAGTGTATGATTCCATTTATTTAAAGTTAAGGAAAAGCCAAAATGAATCTATAAGGACAGTAATTAGATGTAGTTACCACATGGTGATTTTGACTGAGAACTCCAGAGTGAGCCTTATTGGAAGATGGAAGTATTTTGTTTTGATCTAGGTAGGAGGTGGTTACACAGTTTTATACATATATAAAAATTCCCCAAGTTTAGCTTTGAAATTTGAGCACTTTAAATTATGAATGTTATATACCTGTCAAATCAAAAAGGACTCAGGTACCATCCTTCACCACCTGTTGATTTTACAGATCTTTCCTGCCACTCACCACCCTCTTCTTGGTCACTTTATCTTTCTGAACATTTCAATTTTTCTTACTTTTGACCTTCCAGCAACACTGAACACTGTTAAAACTACATCTTCCTTTATGAGACTCCCTTCTTGTACCTAAAAGTATATTTCCCTCTTGGTGACCCTGCCTCTGGCTCTCCTCAGTTTCCTTCATGGTTGCTTTGTCAGCTTCTATAATGCAACTGTTAGGGTAATGCTGGAATTTTGTGGTGATTGGTGCAGCTCAGTGTAGGGCACCTACTCACTATACCAACATAAAGCTTTGGCATTCACTCACACATGGGGCAGTGATAAGTACTGGGGCCAGATTAGTTTAGGAATATCAGCCTCAGCTGTATATTGTGCCCATTTGGGGCTCTGTCTGATGGTCAAAGGACATGAAGTCTTATGAGTACTCAGTGGATTCTCAGTGAAGACATAAAACCTACATGCAAGAGAGCGTATGATTAGATTGCTTATAGTTTGTTTACCCTACCAGACTTCAAGTTGTAGATTTTTTTTATTTTGTATTAAATAATAACTTTGTACATTGATGCATTTATGGGGTTCAGGGTACTGCTTCAATATACAATATGAAATGTTTACATCGCAAGTGGTAGGTTCTTCATGGGAAGTATAGGGATATCTGTTTTGCCCACTGATATATCTCACATGCCTAGAACAATGCCTGGCACATAGTAAGTACTTAGTAAATTATTTGTTGAATTACCTGAATTATTGTTTAAGCTAGGTTTAAAATTAAAACAAGCAAAGGAAAAGCCTGAGGCTCATAAAGGTAACATCATAGCACCTCCCTCACCAAAGCAGAGCCTTCTAGATCTATGCTGTCCTGTTGACAGCTGTGTTTGATGGTCAAGATTATCCCTGGACGCCATACTCCAAGAGGTAGCCAGGAGTCACCTTGAAACTGTCTGCCACAGTCTTGGCTACTAGTCCCTGTTAGAGGTTTCAGTAGTAAACCAACATGAGTAATAAGAAAAGCAATCTTTTGTGCATTTGGCACCCTAGCATATTCGTGGAGATAATCTGAATATTCCATGTTAAAGAGATGGGAACTGTATTAGTTTAGTTGGGTTGATGTCCCTAGTGATCAGGATCCTTGTATTTTGTTCTGAATTTGTTAGCTTTTAATTCATTTATAGAGTTGGAAAATAAATACAAAGCAGAGCTCATGCAGTGAGAAAACAACCTATTTCTGTATTCCCCCTAAACACTATAATATGGCTCTGACCTGACCTCCTCTTTTTCAGGGTGAAAAGGCTGATAGTTTTTACATCATAGAGTCTGGTGAAGTGAGCATTTTGCTTAAAAGCAAGGTGAGTTTATATGATGGTGTGTCTTATGCCAGACAAGAGCCAAGTGCTAGGTGTATGTGTGGAAAGTAACTGTTGACTTTAAATAATGTGAAGTATGTTTAGTGTACCAAACTATCATTGTTATATGAGGTATGTGACTGGCAAAGACTTATCCACTGACAGAGGTTTAGTATAATCCTGTTCCTGCTGCCTGTGTCTATTATGTAATTAATGACGTAAGAAATATTGGCCTATAAATAAATGAGGAAAAGATAAAACCCCTAACAGAAAGTAGAGAAGTTATATAATAAAAACATAAATATGGGGTAAATAGAATAAAAGCTTCCTTTTTAGAGTACTGCTAGGGCATCCTGTAGGAGGACAATTATTATGGTCATTTGATGAATGAGGTGACCTAGAACAATGAAAACCTGTAAGTAGGAGTGATACCTGCTAGTAAATTCATCATCACCAGATTTCCCTCCTTCTTTTTATTTTTCCTCCTTCCCTTCCTTCCTTCCTTCATATATGTTTAGTAAAAGTTAATATGGAGGAAGAAAGAAAAATATTACTGTCTATAAGATAGCTTCTTAATTAAAAATAAAGCTATTGTTTCACATAAAATGATAGCCTGAAACTTCCATGTTGTTTTACTTATAGTTTCATACATTTCTCAAATATTCATTTAAACCTACTATGATCACAGCATAGTGCTAGGTATGCAGAATGAGCAGGAGCATTGCAGTGGGGTGGGGAGTAAGGGGCTTGTCAGAAATACAGAGGCTTGGATGTATCCCACATCTACTGAGTCAGAGTCTGTGTTGTACAAAAACCTGCATTGCAAGGGAGCTGTTGAGTATATATCAGTATAAGTGCTACTCTAGAGAAGGGACTAAGTGGTACGAATGTCTTCAATCCTGGAGAATGCTATAGAAATTGGAAAGAGAAAGTTGGCTTAGGTTTCAGAAATGTGGAAAGAAGAAAGAAGAAAAGTCAAACCATGTGAGCTAGTGTTGAAGCAGTTTTATTTTTAAAATTGACCTTCAAAAA